GAATACATAGGATATACCATGTTGGGATTTCTTTGATGAGATCTTTGCTATGTTTCATTGTTTCACCCTCAGGGCTGCATAGGAATTTCTATAAAGGGACAGCTGGACATGTTTGCTGTCAACACTACCATGGTGGTAGCCAGCACTAAGCTCTGGCTGGAATTAGGCCCTGCACCAAGGACTTAACTAAGATGATTCACGGAATTCTCCTATCAGCACCATGCATTTATTCTTTCATAGCTTTTCTGCTTTTATAAGTAAGCAACTAGAGGAACAAGTACTGTGGGTATGGAGGTGTGGATGTGGGTGTGGCTGTGGATGGAGGTGTGGATGTGGGTGTGGATGTGGATGGAGGTGTGGATGTGGATGTGGATGTTGATGGAGGTGTGGATGGAGGTGTGGATGTGGATGGAGGTGTGGATGTGGATGGAGGTGTGGATGTGGATGTGGATGGAGGTGTGGATGTGGATGTGGATGGAGGTGTGGATGTGGATGGAGGTGTGGATGTGGATGTGGATGGAGGTGTGGATGTGGATGTGGATGGAGGTGTGGATGGAGGTGTGGATGTGGATGTGGATGGAGGTGTGGATGTGGATGGAGGTGTGGATGTGGATGGAGGTGTGGATGTGGGTGTGGATGTGGATGGAGGTGTGGGTGTGGATGGAGGTGTGGATGTGGATGGAGGTGTGGATGTGGATGTGGACGTGGGTGTGGATGTGGATGGAGGTGTGGGTGTGAAGGTCACTGTTGAGTGTCTTTCTCGACTGCCTTCCACTTTCACCTCATTGTTTGAGACAAGGTCTCTCACCGACCCCTAGCTTACCCATTGGCTTAAATGGCTAATGATCTCCGGGAATCTATTTGTCTCTGCCTGCTCCCAGGTTCTGGAGCTACAGATTTGTTAACATTCCCAGATTTTCACACAGGTGCAAGGGATTCAAGGCCAGGCTCTCACATTTGGGAAGCAGGCACTTTAGCAACAAAGCTGTCTCCTGAACACGAATGGTGAAGTACTTTATGGAACCCTTGTATTTACACTTGGCCACAGATGAGATTCAGCGTGTTCTAAGCACGAGCGTGCCACGGAGGAGGTAAATGTGAGGCGCATCTAGTAGCCATGCCTACCTTCTACGGCGACCTCCGGATTACTCACATCCCTTTAGGCACCTCCGTTCTGTTCACAACTGGTGGTGACATTTACGATGCTAGGAGCCAGAACATTTTTAGGCAGTCAGAGCCCACTTTATCCCAAGGCTATCTCGTGCCAGTTCAAATGACCCCATTTGTATTAGAAACATCAATTAGGGAGGAAAAAAGTCATTTTGATTTTAAGCAACTTTTATCTGAATTCCCCTTTTCTCTCCAGATGTGTAAATGATATGGTGACTTAAGTTCCACATCTGTCTATCTCTTTCCCATGTTCAATTCCATTCATCCCACAAATTATTTTTGTTACATATTTGCCATTCTTTCTACCTAGTAAACTACCTTTCTCCTTATAAGTCTCTGCCACTTCAACAGATACTCGGTGTTCTCATGACTTTCAATAAGATTGCACTTTTCTGTATCCCTTTCACTATAGTAACAATCGTTTGCCTGAATAGGTAATTCCCTCTTATCCATCCCAGGCTTTCTTTCAGCGCTCTATGGAACATGCGTTACCCCTCTCTAAAAAAACAAACTCTAAATATTTGAAGCTGAAACAGCATCATCATATGAATCGTGAACTATGTGGGTGCTCAGGATAGACATTTTGAATTTCAGAGGATTTTCAAGGAAAAGTATCAGAAGTAAGTTAAACCTCATAATCTAATGATAAGGCAACATGGTAGCTCAGGCCCTGATGTGACCACCATCCCAGAGTCGAAGAAGCAGGGTAGAGAACTCATGCATACCAGTGTTAATGAGGTACTGAGCAAAGGTAGTATGGAAAAAAAAATCACAGTTTTTATAGACGGAAAATAATATTTGTCAATTACACAGTGTAAAACAGAGGTGATTTGAGATCTGTTAACTATTGATGAAAAATTATTCAATTGTTTTCTATAATTATGGGAGAATAAAGAACTAGAATATATTAAAGAATGAATTTGTACGCATAATCTTTAGGTTCCTCTCTCTGCTGTGGCCGGCGTGGAACTTGCTATGTAGACTACACTGGCGTGGGACTCAAAAGGTCTGCTGGCCTCGCTCCTGCTCTCTGGGAGCTGGGGTTAAAGCCCTGCACCACACGCCTGGCCTTGTACCAAAATATTAATAAAATACCTGCCTTGTTTTATTTCTGACCAGGATACATTCAAATACCATTAAAAGATAATTTAAATGTGGTGAATTTTTGTAAGGTTTGAAAATTAGTTTCATTCCTCAAAAATGCCTGGAATTCCAATACTGAGTGTTGACCCAAAGTTTGGCAGGAAGCTCCATCCTAGGACATGGGTCAGTGGGGAGGAATGGGGGCTTCCAGCCCGCTCCCGCTGCCTCTCCTTGCCTCGCCTTCCCTCTGTTTCATTATTTTGTTCTGAAACAGTTTATCATTGACCTACTTCAAGAGCTGCCTCAAGCCCAAAACACCGTTTAACTCTCCAGACCTGGGAAGCAGATGAGAACTGGACAGTCCTAACAGACTGCCCGATAACCCAACACCTGTTACAGGAAGTCGCAAAGGTCTGCCAGTCCCGAATGGGCTGTTCGGTCTGCAGCCTCCCTCCTTTAGTGTTCCCTGGCAACAGAAGCAATTTAGAAAAATACTTTCCAGAATGTTCCACCTAGCTCCTAGCCAAGCCACTTATGTCTATGTGCTCACGTGATTGAAATTCAAGATCTACCATTGGCTGTCTTTGTCTACAAAACTGGAAGAACATGGCTTGATGTGTGTATTGCTAAAGTCTGCAGTGACGATTCCACCTCGACACAAGCAGGGTGGCTTTCAGGAAGAACGAGCAGTCACCACATCTCACTGTGAACCGACAGTGTTGCTAGGGAAACTGGTAATTACTTAGCAAAATGGAGGGTGCAGAATAGAAAAAGAGTTCAGAAGAAATGTAAGGTTTTGATCCAAATCAGCATGTTAATAGCACAGTTTGTTGATCTTCTGTAGTCATATAATTTAATAAATGCCATTAATTATATGTTTGACAAGATACCAATTTCTAAACTGAAAGAAATGAGAAACGGGGAAAGTCTACTGGTTACTGGTCATAGCCTGAGTATACCACGGAAGACCCTGTATTTATAGTAAACTACAATTAAACTTTAGACACCCATAAAGGTTAAAAACCTACACTGGCTTGGTTTCTGTGTCTTCTCTTTTGACTTCAATTGTACGCCTTTTCGGGGATAAAAACTGTAGCTGCATTTGCTGAGAGCATGACTTACCTTTGCAGCATAGTCACATGGTGCCAAGAATGGTGGCTGGCTGGAGAGGAAAGAGTTGACACCACTTTTATATTTCACATAATAAGGCAGATCCAGAGCAGGTGGGGACCCTCCTGAGACAGCCCTTGGTGGGATGGTGTACCCTCAAGGCTCCTCCCTGCCAACTGACTTCAGGCAGTACTTATAAACGATCCCTTACTTAGGGACAGCCCAGCAGAGAGGCATAAACCAAGGGAGTGCATCCAAATCTTTAGACACTGACTTCATTAAAATGAACATTTTTCAGTTCTTTGCACTTTTAATGATTAAGAAACTACATCTGAAGTTAATGCTACAATATAAATAGCTGCTTATTAGAAACATCTATCTGGAAACGTCTGTGTCTGTGTGTGGTACATGCGTGTGCATGTTTGTGCGTATGTGTAGACATGCCAATGAGTGTTTGTCTTAGTGTGAATACATGTATATTGAGCTCAGCTATCATTCCTCAAGAAACATTATTTTATTTTACATTATTTTTTTATCTGGATCACCAGTTTTAATTGTTGAAATATTTTTATGACAATAGCAAACAGATAATTATTGGTGCATTTTTTTTGTGCTTACAAACAGAACTGCAATGATTATTTATCATGCAATGCAAGTTTATCTATTTTCCAATAGAATTCTGGATCCTTTTTTTTTTTATTTTTACTTAAAAATTTCCACCTCCTCCCCTCCTCCCATTTCCTTCCCCCTCCCCCCATTATTTTAGAATAGGTCTCTCAGTGAACTGGGAGTTTTGATTCAGCTAGGCTGGCTGATGACAAGCCCCAGAGACATGAATTCTTATCTCTTGCTCCTTGTCCTAGTACTGGGATTACAGATGTACACCCTGCACACGGCTTTTTATGGGAATGTTGTGGATCTGAGTTCAGGTTCTTACACTTGTGTGGCAAACACATTACCAGCTGAGCCATCTTCCCAGCCCTGAAAATATTTTAATAGGAGAAAAAGATCACCAAAAAAATGAAACAGCTCCTAACAGAGTTTTGCTGCAAGTCAGGCTCGTGAGTGGCCAGGTCGCGGTAACACTGCTCTTGTGTGGCACTCGCTATAAATCCATGAGAAACGAAGAAACCAAGTCTCCCAGGCTTCATATTTCTGTGTACACAATCTCTTACATTTTTAATGCACTGTTTAAATGAAACATTCATATGGACATACACATAAACTCTACATACAGAAGTGACATGTGGATTGTGGATGTGTCTGATGCTATGGTTTTGGGCAAGATGGACCAAGTACAAGCAGGACCGCACATAAAGAAGAGAACTGAAGAGAGAATCTTAGATCAGGTTGCCAGCCCTCTGATGCATGGGCAAGATACTATTCTATGGGTGGGGACCAGAAGAAATGGACTATTATTTCCAATGCCGTTTACGAAGGGCATTTATTCCTGACACTTGGGTTTGCTTCAGTTGGAACTGTCATTTACGCTGAAGTGGTCATGTTTGATACGAGCTAAAACGGACAAGTTCTTATCCTTATAAGCTTTAGAAGGTGGCTTGAGCTTTGGGATCTCCAAGTCAGAAAAAAACTCAAGTCCTATTACTCTGTCAGCACAATGGTAAGGAGAGACCAACCTTGACTCAAGCCATCCTGGCAGGACATTTGTCTGACTTCCATGTTCTCCACTGTGTCTGCTTTGGAGCCCTCACCCGGAGACGTTCTCCTCTCAAAGATGTTGTTGTTGTTGTTCACCTGAGTCCCACTCTGCTTCAGCAGCCTGAACACTTCAGCCTCCAGATCTCTAATCTAGAAAACAAAAGGCCATTCACAAACTGAATGCCCAGCACATTTCCCTCTGGCAGAGCCGCCTCCCCACGCCTCCCCACGCCTCCCCACGCCACTCACCCGGACTTGCAGGCCTTGCACTTCCACCAGGTGAGCCTTTTCCACCTCTTCCAGCTTCTTCCTTTCTACTTCCTGTCTCTTGATGAAGTCGAGCTCTCTAAAGAAGAAAGTAATAGGTTCAATTGTAGATAACGTTAGTGAGGGAGAGCTATTTAAATAAATGAAACTCAAATAGAGTTAGGAGGAAAGTTTATGGCAACAAAAGAAAAGACATCTTTAATGATTTAATCACAAGTACAGGAAGCATTCTGATTTTCTCGGTGTGCTGTTCACCTGGTGTGAGTCCTGATAGGGAGCATGCACACACATGTGGACAGGAGTGACTGCACCAACGACTCTGTGGGGAATTTAATGGTGATAATTTCCTGTCAGTAGAAGTGATTCTCTATTTCCAATACACAAGGCAACAGATGGAAGTGAATGGTAAGAGCTGAAAAGAGGTCGTTCCAGCGAGAAAACCGTGGGCACTGGGACACAACGCATTCACACCTCCATGGGTAATCTTGGAAAAGAGGGTACCCCTCCATTCTGAGAGTTTCTGATGGAATATGCAAATCTAGTCATTTCTTATAGATACAGTGTTGTTAGCAAAAAGCTAAAACAATAATGTATTGAGTTTACACTAACAGAGTACTGCTATCCTCTCTTAAACAACTCGTTAAAGCTACCTGTTTCAACTATTAAAATATTATTTCCAAGACAGGAAAGAAATATGATGACGGTGTCACACATACTTAGCTTCTAAAGTTTGTCACAGAAAACCACGAAAGGACTGGTGTTTGTCTAGAGTCAGAAATAACTCATAAAAATCTCTTTGGGCATGCTCTCTAAGATTAAGTCATGGCCCAAGAGATGGGAGGAAAACAACCACAGCTCGGAAAGGAGCTGCTGAAATTTCATATGAGGATGTGGTGAGGGCTCCAGGAACAGAGGACGAGCAATGCAGAGGCAGGGTGGGAGGTCCGGCAAGTCAGTGTTTACGTGTCTCCAGAGGCAGTGTCTACGGTCACTGCTTTTGAGGACAGACAGACCCCACCTGCTCTCTGCATGGAGCATGTCCAACTGTCTCCCAGCTTGTGAAGGATTAAAGCTACACTGCTGGTTTCTAGAACAGAGATGCTTCCAAAAACTCCAGTAAGTGTAAGTGTTTTAATAGTTACTATCAAAAATTAAGAAGGAGTCAGATGAAAAAATATATTTCCATGAGAAAAGTTGCTCTCCTAATCTGTGGGAACCCCCCCTGCCCTTTGCACACCTCAAACAGGATCAAGCATCGGGGATGTGTCCTCTTCAGACATGCTCGGGTTCAAACTGCTATTTGGAATGCTTACTTTTGTTGAAAATCCTTGATCAACTTCTTTGCTTTGTTGTACTTCTTTTCCAAGGCCTGATACTGGCTTTGAGTCTCTTTGAGATGCTCATTCACAGTGTGGCACAGCGTCTGGGCCTCGATCCAGTAGGTCTCCAGCTTCAGCATTCTCTCCTTATTCTCTTCAATATTCTGTTGAAGTTGGTTCTTTTCTAGTTCCCACCTTACTTTCTCATTTTCTGCTGCTTGCAGCTGGAGAAAACAAATGTCAAGGCAAAAATAATTTAGGTATGTCTGCAGCAACTATTGCTCCATTCTCATTTGTGAGTTTACCCCTAAATAAATAACCGTCTCTCTCTCTCTCTCTCGATTCTGAGCTAGTGCGCCATTTCTTTTCAGCGTCCTTCTTCAGTCCGCACCACTAAAGCTTGGTGTAAATATAAGTCTATCGTTCTGTACATCAAAACAGCGTGGGACGAGAAGATCAACAATTCTTTCCATATCTATAAAGGATAAAATGGGAAAAATGACTTGCTCAGGGTTATCCATCCAATAAATGATGAAACACAAACACTTTCTTTGATAGCATGTAGTTTCCTGAAAGCAGGAAGAGATGTCTAGAGTATCACTGATTTGGTTCAATATATGTCACCTCCTTTCCTGTGGGAGCATATTAAATAAAATGTTGGACAATAAGTTGAAAATTAACTAGAAAAGGAGTGGGGTGGGGCAAGAGAGGAGGAGAAGCCTACAATGCAGTAGAACAGTGGTTCTCAACCTCCCTAACGTTGCAACCCTGTAATACAGTTCCTCAGGTTGTGGGACTCTCTTAACCATAAAATTATTTGTGTTGTTGCTTCATAACCATACTTTTGCTACTTCATGAATTGTAATGTAAATATTTGCATTTTCTGATGGTCTCAGAAGACCCTGTAGATGGGCCACCCCGAGACCCATGGGTTGAGAACCACTGCAGTAATGGTTAAAATGGGACTCAGCTTACATTTGTTATTTGCCTTAAAACTTGGACAAGTAGTCCAAGTTCCTAAGAGTCTGTGTTAGCGTCTACACAGCGCCCTGTGCTTGCACCGCTCAGCATCCCTGCAACACTTCCTGGGCTTCACGATCATCCAGTAACCTTCAGCTGTTCTTCCTTTTTCAACCCTTTAGATGACGCTCTTAGGTTCCTGATTTCAGTTGACACAAACACAGTCTGTCTCTCAATATATTACAGGGAATATTAAAAATGTCTAGGTCTTTATAAACCTTAATTTACACCAAGCATAAAAGACAAGGATAAGTAAGGGTATAAATGGTTGTCTGATTAATCTAAATCTCTGCAATGGCTTGGAAGATAGCTCTGTGTTGTTATTGTTTCTAGGTATTTTTAGGAAGATGGAATGCAGTTTTCTCTAGGTCTGTAGGCTGAATTCGAGTGCAGGGAAGATGTTGATACATGTTCAGATGAAGCTTACAGGGCACTAACAACAGCTACCTGCCCTCAGAGTTGCTGCTCTCTCTACTTTCTGTGCCTTCTTTAAACTTATGAGTATTCAAAATGAAGACATTCTGACACTATGTAGCACTGAACATATGGAATACACATTCACACGAATATATATATATATTTATATATCATGGGTAATATTTTTTTGAAAACTTTTTACTAAATACATTTGGACAAGAGGTTACAAAGTAAAAATTACTTTGAAATGAAAAAAATCTAACATGGATAAGAATCACAATTACATATTTTCAAGTGTGAATATCATATACCAATCTAGGAAGAAAAATATAAAATAGTAATTTGCAGTCTTTTCTAAATTAAATCTTCGTAGTCAAATGCCTAAGTCTGTCTGTGAAAGCATTTGTAAACACAGGCCTCCTTTCCCTATCTGTAGCCAACAGCTGAAGAAGATCTGCTTTTCAACATCAGGAAGCAGCTCCCGGGTCAGAAGGACTAAGTGTTTACTGCATCTGTAATGAAGAAACATTCATGGCAGCTGTTGATGTGCCCTGCTAACGGAGAACTTAAAGTCACAGTGTGAAGCTGGCACCATGAAGGATGGATAAAGACGCTTTGACTAAAGAGTTTCAGAGCGCATTAGTTGAGAATGCAATAACCAAAGGAGCCCGGCTGATTCACCCCCTCTAAAACACACGGGATCCAAAACAAGCATTTACTGTGAGTGAGAAAACAGATCAATAGTCATGGGGATAATTTTTATCTTAATTTTAAAGAAATCATGGAAGCAATACAGAATAGTTTGAAAGAAACTGAAAAATACTTTTAAATCTCTGAAAATATACATTTGTTAGAGCTGAACACAATAGCTAGAACTGTATCTCGTACAAGAATTTTACAGTTTTCTTTGATGTCTTATTTCATAAAGATAAAATATAGTCTATTAATACTTTTTCCCTTAACAAATTTAAATAAAGCAAGCTAAGTATGTCTCAAGATTTCCAGCCATTCCTGGATCTAAATCAATTACACAGTGTCATAAAGTGAGTTTATAATATTTAATTCTTAGACATGGGAAATGTTTTTGTAAAAAGCAATTAATGTGCCACATTAAAACAATACATTTCTTCTATATATTAGCTAAAAATAAATCAATCTCTTTATTATAAGGTAAATTATATAAATGATATTTTATATACCAGCTAGTTTTTAAAAATTAGTACATATTTCAGATGCTTGAGCCATTAAAAATATTATTTTTGAAGAAATTTCAGAGAGAATATGCATAAGTATGAATCTATTTAAGACATGAAGTTCTATGTGGCTTTCGCTGGGGTGAGTGCAGTGTGCTTACTCTCCCGGAATTCTTTCTGTTTGTGTACTCAATGGTGGACATGAAACTGTCATGTGAGCGCGCTCTCAGTGCACAGGAGCACACCCGTTTGTCCTCGGAGTATCCGGAACTCAAAGAGCACAATTCGAACACCACGGAGCGGTGCTTACCTTGGTCTTCAATTTTTGAATCTCTGCTTCTGTAACTGCATGTTTGATTTGCAACTGAAAATTGAAAAGAAAAAAATCTCAACTAAGAGTGTTTCTATATTTTTAAAGACTCAGCAGCGAGAAGAATACCGTTTGACACAATAAAAGCCTAGCAACCTGCTGCACTGCAGCAGGCTGTAAATTACAATGTCTAGCGTGTAAAATGACTCACTGGGTGCACACTAATTAAACACAGGGTTTATGGCTCGCAGTCTCTAACATCCGATTAAGTTACCAGTTTAATTGTTCACAGGCCAAATAAAATAAAACCCATTTTTTGAACTCTGTGGCTCTTCCTTTATGATCTGAGCATCCCGGAGCTGTTTCTTGCTGACCGGCTTGAGCCTGTCAACAGGCCTGGCACAGCGTGACGATGCAGTCCCACATCTTGCGGAAAGGTGGCGCTGTGGTTCTGTCAGTCTCACATTCCGCAGTGGCTCTGCTGCAGAGGAAGGGGGTTACGCAGTGGCTCTGAGAAATCTCTGCGTTTGTTTTTCCTCCTCCTTCTTTTCAAAAGCAGGAAAGGTACAGATTCAGATTTATGCCCTCCGAAATATCTACCTGTATGAAGACTCCAACCTCAAAGGGCATTTTCTACACCATAATAGTCGCCTTTGTCATTTGTTTGCGTTGCTTCCCCTCCCCCCACGCGGTTTTCTTTGTAAGAACATGTCTTCAATGCGTCATTCATTTCTTTAGGACTAAACGCCCTCCCTGAACTTAAGGAAAACAGTTTTTGGCTCACGATTTGTTCTCTGAAGTCCCTGGGAAAGGATGCTTTTGGAATTCCCAGTTCTCCCCGTGTTAGAGGTTAAGACAGGCACCTTCCATCAGTCGTATTTTGCCAGCTAGGGAGTCTGGGAGGGTGTCTCTCTGCAACTAAATTCACGAACATTTCCGCCACACTATCGAACATTGGTAAACCCTATGTGGCACCCTGCTTTTTATTTATTTATTTATTTATTTATTTATTTATTTTTTGGTGCAGAGTACTTTGGAATTAGAACTGTCCAGGAAGGACTGTAATCTTATGTTATTACTACAACCAAGTAAATTTAATGCATTTTACCAGTCAGCCAAGGAATAGCTGAAGGAAGGGCCTTGAATTACAATGGGAAGTAACCTTTGCCGCCAACAGCACCTCCTAAATGGCTGCTCTCTGGGTCTGCGGCATGTATGACCTGCTGCGGACACATGAGAAGGGATAACAAGGGAAAGGAGGAAGAATCAAAAGAGGATGGACGAAACATCCAGCATCCAACTGAAAACAGTCAGCCTGGAATTGCCAGGCACGGTGCCCCAAGGTTCTCCTCAGAGCTTTGTCAGCCCTGCTAGGGACAATGCCGGCAGCTTAGCTGTGGAGGGTGACCCTGACACTTTTAAAAAGGACTGAAGACCACCCTCTCTGAACTGAGATGGCCAGAGGTCTGTGTCTCGTGATTTCATACCATTGGTCTGACTCACTTTGCAGATGCCAGGGTGGGAGTGTGCCCGGGAAGGAAACCACATGAACCTAATGTTCCCAGTGACAATTCTGTGGAAGGCCATTTCTTCTCCCCAGGAATCCTGGTCTAGATAGGTCTTCCAGATGCTGACAATGCTGGGACACCCAGGCTCAATACCTAGAGGGTCCACCTTCTATCTATGAGCCCACAGTGAGCACAATGACCTAGAGTCTTCATGCGCACAATTTGGGGAAACTGAGGCTCAGAGAAAACAATCAACCTGTCTAGTTAAAAAAAAGAAATCAACGCTAAATTAGTCTGGGTTTTGATCATGTGCCATTTCTCTTAAAAACTGGAGATGAACTTTATAATCATCTACGCAGGAGGAGCTCTATGTGAGCCGCGGTGAAGGGAACATGTCCTCTCTCCAAGGAAGCCATGCTAACCTCTCCTGCCAGTAAGAACGAACATCACAGAAGGGCAGAAGTGCTGACACACTGAAGGTATTCTTTATGTACCGCATGGAGACAGATATAGAACTACAAGGAACTATATTGAGAGATATTATACTGTTCGACAGTAAATCAAATTTACATGCCTGGATGACTGTTTTCCATCCATCATCGACACGAGTAGCTACTCCCTGCTGTTTAAAACATATTAATATGAAAAGTTAGGCGGCTCAAATTCATCATATTTGTCACGTGATGTGCAGCAGGGACACTGCGTAACCTCTCACCAGCACTGCTGTCCCAGGTGACCATTCTTACCGCGACACTACAGGAGGTAGTCCATATAAGGCATTCAAAGCACAGTGGCCGAGTAAGAGTTATCAATACAGTCTGCCAGGACCAGGGAGAATCACCTAAATCACTTCCCACTTAACCGTGTCAAACGGCCCCTGCAGTCCAGTACTCAGATAGCAGAGGCCAAGAAAAACACCACAATGGCATCGGAAAAAGAGACCAAAGGCATTAACTGGCATATACAAAGACACTCCTGAAAGAATCCCTGGCTCTAGCCAAAGGTCAGCTCTACAGCGCACACTGTATTATGGGTGGTGCACACACAAAGTTCCTCCTGAAATCAACCGTTCTAGCCAAGGGTCAGCTCTACAGTGGACACTGTGCTATGGGTGTGTAACAAGGTGGGCCAGGCCTGCTTGTTCTTGTTGGCTTTTGTCCGGCCCGGTACCTCACAGCTGTTTAGCCCCAAAGAAAATCACACATAGGTCTCCATAAATTATAAGCTGATTGGCCCATTAGCTCTAGCCTCTCACTGGCTAACTTTTACATCTTGACTAACCCATTTTTCTGATCTATGTTAGCCATGTGGCTCAGTACCTTTTTCAGTGGGGCAGGTCACATCCTGCTGTTTCAGTGGTCTGGGCAGGAGTGGGAGGAATCAACTTCCTCCTTCCCAGAATTCTCCTGTTCTCCTTGCATCATTTCTACTTCCTGTCTGGTTTTCCCACCTATTCTTCCTGCCTGGCCAATCAGCATTTATTTAAAACATGATTGACAGAATACAGACAATCCTCCCGCACCATTCTTGATGATGGACTCAAAGCATATGGCTTCACATGTCGTGGGACTTTAGACATCTTTGCTCATTACCACTTGTGACCTCTGCCAGTTTCTCACCTGCACCTCAGTTTTCCAAATGAAAACCGAGAGGACTAGATGGGGAGAGCCCCCACCAGCACCCACAGACTTCCACATTGGGCAGCTATGGGTAAAAAAAATATGGGCCAGCTATATTAGCAATGATCAGAGTTCAGAAATTCATATCACAAGCATCTTCTCCTTATAGGGTACATACTAGGCCAGTAGCTCAAACTGTGGATGAACCTAAGGAGAAATATGAAGTAGCCCACACTGGTTTCTGATGTGGATGCCCATCTGTATATGTGTTGCATTTATTGGATAATGAATAAAGTTGTTTCAGCCAGTGGCTTAGCAGAGTAAAGCCAGGTGGAAAAATCCAAGGAGAGAAACAGAGAAAAAGAAGGCGGAGTTAAGCAGATGCCAGCCAGCTGCTGAGGGAAGATGACACGTAGAGAATGTTGTACTGCCACGACCATGTGGCAATACATAGACTAATAGAAATGTGTTCATTTAACACGTAACAGCTAGCCAGAAATACGCCTGAGTCATTGGCCAAGCAATGTTGTAGTTAAAAAAGTGTCTGAGTTTTTATTCTGGTACGAGCAGCCGGGAAACAAAAGCACAGTTTCTGTGTACAGGTCTCTAGTTAGCTTGAAGTTCTTCTCACCAAACAGGTAAGAGAAGAGGGCTGAGCCGATTAACAATGAGGTGGCCACAACCCATGAGAGCTTAGTGTTAGGAAAACTAGTAAATTCTTCAGATCCAGAATGAAACGTGCGAATCTGGATATCATTCAAAAGATAAACAATAACTCTACTGTGAGGTTTCCTAGTTGATACAGCCCTGAAATTACAGATATGCAGTTATTTTAATCCTGGGAGCAATACACCTTTCAGGGAATTTTTATATATCCATCACTATTAGTAGGAAAGAAATAAAAATATACAAGTTGAACCTTTTCAATTTACACAGTAGAACACTGTACAAAAGACTTTAAATAGGATAGCTAATAATTGCCAAAGTCACAGTTGTGCTAATATAGGATTTTTTGTTTTTGTTTTTTGGTTTTTTGAGACAGGGTTTCTCTGTAGCTTTGGTGCCTGTCCCGGAACTAGCTCTTGTAAACCAGGCTGGCCTCGAACTCCCAGAGATCCGCCTGCCTCTGCCTCCCGAGTGCTGGGATTAAAGGCGTGCACCACCACTGCCTGGCTTTAGTTTTTTTTTTTTTTTTTTTTACATTATTAGAAACCTGCTTGCTTTTCTTCGGCCCCCTATTTGCTGCAAATGGCTCTGGGAAGAGGCGGTCAGGTCCTGTTCAGTTCAGATGAGAAAGACGCTGAGCAACGTCACTCTGCATCTCACAGCTCCCCCGGGAGTACAGGGCGCAAGACAACAACCCCAAGCCTGGCTTCTCTGCTTCTGCCCAGCAGCTTGCCTCGCTTGTTTCCTCGATGCATGCATTTCTCATTCATAATAAACTCAAGGTGCACGTGATCGTCGCTGCCCTAGATGGGAATCATGACTCTGACTGGGCAGTCTCTGTGGATCCTGACACTGATAATGCTGCCAGCATCTGGAGAGCTGAGCAGGTGGCTCAGTGGCTGAGGTGCTATGCAAGGAGGACCTGAGGGACGGTCCGCAGCAGCTGTGCACAAGACCAAGAGCTCTATGTACCTGTGCCAATGACTCTGGCTGGGGAATCAAGAGGATCCGGGGCTTTCTGGCCAGCCAAACAATGAGGAGGACAGTCACAGAGAAAGGCATCCATTGCTGACCTGACCTCCATATCATTCATGAGTGCACATCCCAATACATACAGAGAATCTGGCCTCCATATGGTGCATGAGTGAGCACCCCAATATGTACAGAGAATAAACATAAAAAAGAAAAGAAACTTAGAATATGTCCATTATTAAACTAATATTAAGTTAGTGAAACTGTATGCCTGGTACATAGTCATGGA